GAGAGAAAGAGGGAGAAAGATACTTCTAGACCGATCGGATAAAGTTGTAATGCCCGAGGTGGATTTTATGAAACGGTTAACGCGTGTTCCGTACACGTCGGTGTCTAGCCGGTGATCGAGAAGCTCGCTAAGTCGTGTTATTTTCTTCGTAGGTGCAACATTCCGCCACTCGCTTCTCACGCTCGTCGAAAGTGCAGTCGGCGCGCCGAGCGCCGCAAATTGCCGGGCGTGACGAGGATTTCGTGTCGTTTCCGAGGGAAAGGATCACGCAAATTAGATTTGACACAGCGGATCGACGGTAGACCCACCCTTTTCAGGATATAATGATTGGCGCGTGGCCGTGCAGCCACGCACATAACGCTTGCGAATGGCCAATTATGTGCATACACGAACGTTTCGCTCGTCGAGTCTTGAATTTCTTTTACTTACTGTCGTAGCGAAAAAACGTGTACTAACAACTCGATTGATTTTCACGCAACATTATTTTACTTGCATTTTTTTTATCTTATATTTAAAATGTAAAATTTATTTTGTCTTCCAAATTATAGTAATTGGAGGGAAATTTTAATTCAATTAAATAATTAGAAGGAAGGTGTAAATATACGATACAGAAGTGCACGTCACAAATGGGTAATGAAAGAAGGAACAACGGTGCTCGGTTGCTTTTCGGTGCTCCGAGCAATACGGAGGACCGGATCGTCGAAGTCGGTGTGCGAACTTAAGTGAATGAGGAAGATAAACATAATAATTACGGCAAATTGAGGCCTGCCACTGAAAGCAGTATTGTGGCGAGCGGAGAGGAGGCGAGAGAAAAAAACGGGCCGTGCGCGGGCCACGGCCGCGACGTGTATCGGTTGGAATAAACGCGCTTAGCGTATACTTGGCGTGCCAGCGGTAGCGTGGGTGAGCAAGGGAGATTATCGGCAAACGTGTTTAGACCTGTAACCACCCGCGGTATGCCTACGAGCTCTCCGGGAACGTTGCGAATTTATTAACACTGTCCGCTTTATCGCGATCGGTGACGCTTCCTTATTAGAAAGTTATTTTCACTGGAAACATTTTTTTTCTCCTCTTAAATTGGAGATCCCTCTGGTCCCTTATTAGCACGATCATTTTTGCCTCAACGCGGTTCTATCGTAATGCAGTATGGAATCTTAATAACCAGACGAAATCGCTGCAACATATGCTTGGCCGGAAGTATGCTGTACTCGCCGCGTGGGCCGGTATTCTCAGACGATACCATAAATTGCTCTAATCTTGCGAGCATTAATAGGCGTATCCACTCTCGCGCCTGCGACGTGTTAGTAAGGTATAGGAAGACGCATATGGCAGAAGGACGTGCGCTTTACCAGCGCTTATCAGCGCATTTAACTTCACGGATGAGACTGCGCTCGCTCACTCAGGCTTTATGTCAAGATTTTTCACAGGCAGGTTGAACGGTCTTCTAGGCGTTTAGAGGAAATTCTTTCAATAATTAACTGATTAATTTCTAAGGTGAACGTGCTTCTTATCAGAAGCGAGTTAATAATACTATTTAAAGTTTTTTTAATCTTTATTATCTTAAAAGCGATCTTTAATATTTTCTTGAAATATTTTGATTGTAATTACTAAAAGAAGTGAAATTAAAAAACATTCTCACAAAACACATAAAATTTTCGTTTCGGGAAATATCTAGGAGCGATCTATTTCCGGATCGCATCGTAATTTGCATAGTATCTCACTCTATTCGACAGGCATTACAACGACTATAAGCGAAGGGTGCGTCGATTTCGATTAAGTAACGACCTCGACCTAGTGAATTACGCGTTGCATTCGGGAATTTAGCCCTGCGGCTGCGATTGCACATGCATGCTTGTACGGGCTTTGCTTTCGGTGATCGCGTCCAGGCCGGTTTTCGCGGCCGCAATGCCGCAGGCTGCCTCTCCCCGCCCCTTTTAGGCCCTAAAAATGATCACAAATAAAAATAACTGACGAAATTACCGAGGAAACGTCGACGTTTTGTTACTTGGTCGGGGTGTTCTATTTTTGGAAGCGCATTTTAAAAGAGTTATGCGGCGTTGACTTGTAAAGAGTTTTTTGCCATCTTTTTTCCTCGCAATTGCGACATATGCTTTAGCTAAGCACAGAAACCGTAAATGATGTACCCGAGAGGAACCGATCTGCAGCCTCTTCTATGCAGTGATCTTCCGCCATCGCGAATACCTACACGTGTATCTCGATGCACGCGATGTATAAGGCACGCTGTTAGTGTAATAATAAACTCTCTTGAGCGCCGCGGCTAACAGAATGTATCTTGCGAGTCACAGTGACTGACTACTTGGCGCCTGCACCGATAAACCAATCCCGGCTCGTACTTGTACGCGATTGTCGGTCGTGCACACGTTTAATACATACGCTTGCGTACGCTGACACTAGAGACGCGGACGATGAATGAGCTAATTGTGCTTTCTGATGAGCGAAAGCCCGTCGTCTCTTTTATCTCTTTTCCGCCATGGATGACGTATGCACGCACTTGCCGGTCGTCGCACAAAAATGCGATATCGAAAGAAAGACGTTCGTCTTAAGTAATCGACAAATGACGTTCACGGCAAGTATTGAGATATTCAAAATTAACATGCTGCACGTCTTCATCGACGCGTATTGTTTTCCGTTCAAATATACTATACGAAATTTATTTATCCGGATGACGTAACAAACAATCATCTTCAGATTTCTTGAAGAATTTAAAGAATTTAAAGCGGACAAAGTTGCATTTTTGGAACGTTTTTAAACCGTTTAGATATTGCGACGCGTCCTGTCGATTTCGTTGAGCACGACTGAGTTTAAACGTGATCTCTGAAAGAAAAAAAAGCCGGACGAATGGAATCGACAAATATTTCCAAGCAGGTGTAGCTCATCCGCGACTGCAGCTGCCTTTTATGGAGCCCTTAACGTGCTTTACCCTTGAAGTTCAGAAAATATCGCGGCGTATGCGTAACAGCTGCTGCATTTTTCTGTGGGTGGCGACCAGTGAAAGTGAGTCTTCGAGGCCGACGCCGGATATAAATTACATTCTATTTCATCTCAAGTTGAATGCAATCATGTGAAAATATTTTAATGCAATGTCTGTGAAATTTCAATAAGAGCTAGCGTTCGCTTCCATTAATTATAATCAGTATTCGAACGTTCGGGCAATTATGGAAACGATTACATTAGGGGAAGGCAACTTCCTTCGTGTAGAGATTTTTTTTAGATTCCTCGAACCATGTTTACGAGCGCGCGACGCGGGAGAGAATCTTTTTTCGTCTACGACAGGAAATCGTAGTGCATCGTCAGGACATTTAAGCGGCACAAGTAAAAAGTTACAGTTATTTTATATATTTTATATTTACTCTCGTGCAATCTCTCTGCTTCATTACGACACTAGAAATTAATTTTATGTGCAAGCTGTAAATTTATATACATATGGAAATTTACACTTATAAAGTTTGCCTCAAGCTATAAATTTACATACGTGTGGAAACTTGCCTATAAAGTTAGTCACAAAATTGTCCACTATAATAATTTTGTTGTAACTTTACACTACTTTTCTTACAGTATATTTAACGTTCTGTTACATAGCATGCTTTAAGATTGCTAATACAATTAGCATTATGGTATTAAAAAGCAAATTATTATAAATTGTTAATTATTATTGGATATTGTAAGAGTTTATATGTTTTGTGTGCCTTGGAAATATTTTTTCAATTTAAATACGGTTATTATGCAAGTGGCTGTTACGCATACCAGCAAGCACTTTTCTATCTTACAGATTAGGATAAAATTTGTTTTTTTCTTGCGGTTTTCTTCGCGGATTTCTTAAATGGTGGCTGCGCTATTATACGCGATTAAATCAAGAATCGATTGCGAGCACGAAGTCCGTCGTTATAGCCGTCTATTTGCACTTGGTTACAGCGAACTGCGATTTTCGGTTTCGAAATCCGCATGAAAACGACACATTTAGCCGCTTTAGGACAATCTAATTTACCGCTGGGATTAATCGAGATCGTGCTTTGTTGAGTTTTTTCGTCAATTCACGAAGACCAATTGTTACCTCATCGTACCACGGTTTAACGAGCGATCAGAGATCGAGGCGCTTCGCGAATCAGCTCAGTTCGATTAGTGCCGTAAAATCGGCCACCCTAGAACGATTTCCTTGTGTTCGCCACAACAGGAAATACGCTTAGCGAGGCTTTTTCGTGTCAATTTATCTCGTTTAAGCGTCAACTGATTGTGAGCACAGCTTGCAGGATAGCAACGCTCCCGAGAAAAATGTTGATAGAACTTATGAACATGCAATAATCTCTGTCAGCGGCGGAGTTGAAAAAAAATATAATGTAGATAAATAAACTGCCATAAACAGCTTACCGTTCTGAGAAACAAATATTTTCCTCGCGCAGCGCTCGAATCCGTGTGGTCTGTGCTACAGTGCTCCCCCAAGCTTCGCAGACCGGTTACACGTTTCGCGATCTCGGCACTCTTAAATTCCGTAACGGGAGCACATGTTCGCGCTCAAAAGCGAAGCACTGTAAACGTTTACTTTTCGGCGAATCGCGAAAAAGATGGATTTATGCTACACCGAGCACGAAGAATACGCTTTTGGTTCGTGTGCAAATAGGAATCGGGCAACGCGAAAACTCTTGTTACACTTCTTAGATTTCAGGCTCGTTTATGCTCTAATTTCTGTCTCTCTGTGCTGGAATACAGTGCGTTAACTAAATATCTTTCAGTGTTGCGTTACGCGACATCAGCTAGAAAATCCATTTGAGAATTATTCCGCGGATTGCGTGTTGCAGAATTCGTGAAGAAATCGTGAAGCGAAGTAGGCTAATATTCGTAGAAACGATGTGTCTACATGATATTTACAAAGGGCACCTGATTCGAGCACAGGCGATTTATGACAGCCATTAACCTAGCACGCGAGACGACGCACACGCGAAAACTCTCGGAACGCTTTGGCTTGAGAGTCGGCGGGAGACTGGCGTACGCCTTTTGCCTCTGCTCGAGACGTCGCGCCGGGCATCCCTTTCCACCAAGCGAGAGAGACGACGCTTCCTTACCGGTCTTAGGGAGAGGTGCCTTTACTCCCGATAGGTTACCTTCCAGATAACTCGATAGCATCATGAATGCGCGCACGCGTGTAAATTGGTCCGATAAATATACTCCGCCGGAATTGCGAAAAGCCCGAGACATTTCACTGCTAATTAAGGGGGGAGCCTCGTATGAATCGCTAAAACAAAGGTGATTTTTAGGAATTTTTTTTTAAGAAACAATGCAACGGATTTTTTTAAAACTTTTTAGTGTTTTATAACATATATTAAAAAGTAAAAAAAAAATTTTTTTTGTTTAAAAAATAATTGATTATAGAGCCACTATAAACAAATGTTGACGCAGCCTCATCATTGGAGTTGTGAATTGGCGGGAGTTGTAGCGTCTTTTGCAACTCGTTTAAAACAAAAAAAAAGTTTTTTTTTACTATGAAATTATCTAGTCGATGAACCTAAAAAATAAGTAAAAAAGTTGAAAAATTGAAAAAAATGGCAACACTTTAAAAAAAAATTAGCGATTTTGACCCACAAAATGTCACCTTATTTATGCAATAAAAATTGTTTAAATTAATTATTTTACTAATTTTATAGGTTCATCGACAATTTATATTATTAAACTACATGTATACACAGGGACAACTCGATTGATCGAATAGTTTTTGAGTAATCTTTCCCGCCAATTGCCAAAAACTGGTTTCGAGAAAAACGCGTTTAAAGTTTTCGGTATTGAAAAGTAAAAAAGAAAAGTGTAATAACAAGTTTAAAACTGAGGCTCCGATTTCCTGCTTCTTCGAATTTCACACTTTGCTTGCACTCTCCAAATTGCACTCTCATATAAGTACTTCCGAAAACGCGCCAAAAACAGTTACAAATTCTATAATCTTATATCTTATGGTACCGTTGACCGAGCGCCCCGCCGCGTGCTTGTATATCTGCGCGCAAGAAATAGGCTGTGGACTCCTTAAAACTTCAAATTTTGTTTTGTAACTTTGGGAATATATTTTCTACATGGATTGCTATTGCGTAATAACTTCGTATAGCATACATTATACGAAGTTATACGACTTCTTCTTCTCCTTCTTCTTCTTCGTACTCTTCGAACCGTGCT